ACAGTGTGTTTATGTGGAGAGGGTTAGAGGACAACTTGCAGGAGTCATCTATCTCCTTCTATTATGGAGGTCCCAGGGATTGTACTCAGGTCATCAGCAAAAGAAACAAGCATCTTTACCCATTTGACCATCTCATTGACCTAGATATTTTTTTTAAAAAAAAAAAAACAAAGGTTGTCAAGAGTGGAGAGATTAGGTCCTATCCATTCTGTTAACATGGATGTTGGGCCTCAACTGTTCTGAGGAAAGCTGTCTTTGAGCAAATAGGTCAGGATCATTTTAGGGGAGCCGAGGCCCTCCCTCCCTGCCACTATTGGAACAAGAAGTGGAAAGTAGAGAGAAGAAAGTTCTTCCTCTTTGGAAATAGCATGAAGATTTTATGCAAAAAAAATTAAAAATAGAATCTAAGTAAGGGGATGAAATAAGGAAGTGAGATGTCAGCACTCATGTAATCATTGCAACACTGTTCACAAGAGCTATGATGGAGAAATAATTCCAAAGATTGGGTGAAAATGCCGTGCATATACACAGTGGAATGAAGAAAATAATGATGATACCATGTGTCTTTGTTAGGGTTTCTATTGCTATGGAAAACACCATAACCAAAAAGTAACTTGGGGAGGAAAGGGTTTATTTGGCTTACACTTTCACATTGCTCTTCACCACTAAAAGAAGTCTGGACAGGAACTCAGAAGTCAGGGCAGGATCTTGAAGACCGCAGCTGATCCAGAAGCCACAGAGGGGATCTGCTTACAGGCTTACTTCGCCTGGCTTGCTCATCCTGCTTTCTTATGGAACCCAGGATCACCAACCCAGGGATGGCCACATCCACAATAGGCTGGTCCCTCCCCATTTATCACTAATTTGAGAAAATGCCTTACAGCTGGATCTTATGGAGGCATTTCCTCAGCCAAGTCTCCTTCCTCTCTGCTGACACTTCCTTTTATCCAGGTGACAAAGAAAATCAACCAGTACAATTGATCCCTTGTCAATTTGATACACATACAAATCATTATTAATTATTAATCCACAACCCTTTCTTTTCTATTTATCTCCAGGATCTCACATTAAAATGATAATTAATTTTAAAAGTCCCACTGTCTTTACAAATTCAAACATTAAAATTTCAGTCTCTTTAAAATATCCTGTCTCTTTCAAAAGTTCAGGTCTTTCATCTGTGGGTACCTTTAAAATGCAAAATTAAATTAAACACATTCTCCAAAAGGAAAGAGCCAGAACACTATCACAAAATGTCCAACCAAATTAACCTTCAACAGTATATATAATTCAATGGCCAATTGTCTGGGATTCACTCAGGATCTTCTGGACTCCTCCAAGGAGCTTGAGTCACTGTTCCAACTCTACCCTGTGTGGCACACACTGCTTGGCTTCTAGGCTCCAGCTGGCTCCCCTCAACTGCTTCTGCTATTCTTGGTGGTCTTCCCATGGTACTGGCATCTCCAAAACACTGGGGTCTTCTGCAGCAACTGAGCTGCATTTTCACCAAATGCCTCTCACAGGCTCTCTTTATGGTGCAAAGCCCCAATTTCTTTGCATGGCCCCTTCTGTCCTGGGCCTTCAATTTCCACTGAGGGTGCACCTTCACCAATGGCCTCCTCTGGGCTCTCACAGTGCCAAGCCTCAGCTGTTCGCCATGAGCCATTCATGTCTTCAAAGCCAGTACCACCTGGGTGACTCCTCCACATTAGAAAGGCTGGCTGCCAGCACGAGGTACAATCTTGGCCACCTCTGGAACAGAGCTTCTCTGTGTTCTCAGGAAACACTTACTAGAAGATTTAGTTTCAGTGATGCTGTTATGTTCTTAATAACTGCTCATTGCTTTGCTCCAGCTGAGC